GGAGGGGCAGAGAGAGAAGGAGGGAAACACAGAATCTGAAGCAGGCTCCAGGCTCTGCTCTGTTAGCACAGAGCTGAACCCAGGGTTCAAACACACAAACTGAACTGTAAATCATGACCTGAGTTGAAGTCGGACGCTCAGCGCCCCTAAAGATACGTACTTTTAAATGTTGCCTTCAAGTTGTGGTAATTTAGATACTTTACATTCATGATTTGAAAAAAACTGTACAAAACTTGAGTAGTTGAGAACTTTACTAAAACAAATGTACACAGGTACAAATGTAAACATGCATACATTTGTTTTAAAAGTACTTACCTGTGGGAATTTAAAGTTTTTTCCCTTGTATTTAGGTCAGAAGAACCAGAGGAAAAGAAAGCTCACACAGAAGACACAACTTCATCATCTACACAGATGATTGATGGTGATTTACAGGCAAATCAAGCGGCATATAATTATAGTGCCTGGTATCAAGTGAGTTCACCTAATTGAATTTTTTGCTTGTAGATGTTATTCAAAAATGAAAATAAAAATAATTTAAGTTTTTTATTTAATAATTAGAATAATTTAATAATAAAATTAAAAATAAATTAGGATAGTCTTTTTTTTTTTGTAACAACTACTTCTATTCCAGACTGTATAATAAATTGTCTTTTGTGGTTAAGTCTTGGAATTTTAGCACTGAACACATGCCTGGTTTCTTAAATGTATATGCATTAATTATACTTTCATAAATGGAACCGAGCCAGTTTTAGCATGCTAACATGTGCTTTTTCCTTTCAGTACAATTATCAGAATCCGTGGAATTATGGACAGTATTACCCTCCCCCTCCAACCTGATGGGAAAATATATCAGATGGAATGTATTAAAAGTATGAAATTATTTTTTTTTAATGAGGGATGTAAACATAGCATAAGCTTGTTGTATTTGATAACTTGTCTTCCTGTTTTCTGTGTAACATGATTTGTTTAGTAATAGGGGAAAATGTCACTTAGTAGCTTACCACAGATACTATTTCCTACCATTTATAAAATTTACTTTTTATTGGAGAACTATTTTTTTGATTTTTTGCATTAAGTGGTCTAGAATTCTTTTGCAATGGATTTGCAACAGAAATCCTTTGTAGCCTTAAGGGGTAGGAAAAAAACTGACTGGAAATCATGTCAGTGTAGTTCAAGATACTGAAAATATATAAGGGCTGGTTATTAAGGATTTACCTCCTCTGTAAAAAAAAAAAAATGGATTTTTAACCTTTAATGACAAGGTTTTGTCTGTTTCAATTATCCTTGTGAATTTGGATTTAACTGCAGAAAAGATACACTATTAAATACTATGTCTTGGGATAGAGATTATAAATGAAAAAATGGAGTGTTTGCATCCCTTTTAAAAAATGAAAATCATATCAAAAGTATGTTGTTTCAGGAGACTTTGTATTTAGAATATTCATGTAAAACTTGTGAGCAAGCTTTCATTTTGATCAAACTGATCATCTTCATTTTTGTAATAAAACTTAAGACTCCTTAACTAATTGTTATGAGTTTATTTGGGGGCAGGTTCACCTAACAATATTAACTTTATCATTATTAGTGGACCATTGGTTTTGAAGTATACTTTTCTTGAATTTAGCTAAAATCACACCATTTATAGCTTTTTGCTCCCTCTGTTTCTCTGCTTGTCTTCTCACTATACAGGAATATTTATTTAAAGAGGAGTGTGCCTCTGGAAAAGCTGTCTGGACAGTTTTACTATAACTCCCTGTTTTGATTAAATGTTAGTCCTGGTTAACCTAATCAGAACAATTATCTATTAACAACAAATAAATCAAGACACCGAATACATTTTATTGAGCCTTTCAGTTTACAACATGAGGTAAAAGGAAAGTCAGTTCTCTTTAACCAATATTTTACACAGCTGTAGTAAAATATTTCAAACTTTAGGGAATTATAATGGATTACATATATTAAAAGTTGTGGATCGGGTAAACAGTATCTGCATTCTTGAAATTTTCCAGTTGACTCTTCCGTTACAATAGTAACCAGCTCTAATTAGTTACATAAATTTCTTCAAGGCCATGTTTTATTGTTGCTGATGTCTTTATATCTGAAGCATTGCTATTTCAGTCAATATCCACTAATTCCACTTCAAAAATGAGTTTTGCATTTGGTGGAATTCTGTTGCAGAAGTCAAGGTAAACTTGATAAAAATTGCTTCTTCCTTCACTCCCAATATCCTCAGTCTAAAATTAGCATTATATCTAATGGATATTTGGTATTAACCTCAAAGAGAAGGGCTTTATGAATGACTGAGAGGCTAACACATACTAGCCTAGTGGTTCCCCAAAGTATCTTTGTGAATGGTGATCATAACCTACTAGTATAGGCTGACAAGACAAGTTGAGTTTGGACTAGGATCTTCCTTACCTGGATGCCTCACCAGTACTCCCAAATTAGCCACCACCTAATGAAGATGGATACTCAGTGCTTTAAAAAAAACAAAACAAAAACAAGGACGTGATTTCAATCTAGCTGGGTGTATAGGTTATGTTAAATCAAATTTCGTATGAGGTAGTGCCTTATATTTGCTGTGATTTTTTAAGATGCCAAGTTCAGAAAAGTGTTATTTTTATCTGATTGGTTTTGAGATGCTTCCCATGAGAGAGAGGCAGCTGTCGTTGGGCCATCTAATTTTGATAGGCTTAGAAGAGGGCTATATTCCTAAATAATTTTAACTGATAAAAGTGGAGAGAACTTCCAAGTTTTTTAAAAGTTACTTTAACTAATCCAACTAGTACAATGGGAATGGAACCAACAAAAGAAAAAACAACTTCTCAGTTATTGGATTGTTCTGATCACAATGGTCAGGAGCCATGTTTATTTTTTATTTATTTATTTTTTTAATTTTCACAAACTGGGCCTATCAGAAAAGTACTGTCATTAGTAGTAATCACAGATGCTTACACTATGGTGGACCCATGGTCCCCTTAAATTTCACAACCAGTAATCCCCAACATATGTTCCATTTCTAAGCTTTGAGTACTCATTTAAATGCCTGAAATTATACTGCAGCATAAAATTACCATGAGCCATACTTATATCCTATAATTTGCTATAGTTGTTTGTACTGGACATCTTAACTCCTTTAAGTAAATCCTTCAAATAGTAACAACTGCCTTTCAAAGATGAAAACGTAAACCTCACAATTTAGCTCTTAAAAATCAAGAACTGATTTCAAGAGGACAAAAATGTAAATTCTATTCTAGCTCAGGTTTGGATACTTTGTACTACTAAGACATGTTAACTCCTGTCTCTATTGGAGGTGTCTACACAGAAGCATCTAAGTATTAGGAATACTGGTCTGGACATGATTCCTGATCTGGAAATTAACCTAGATAGTGTCTTTTATACCTTCAGGTGGTCTTCATGTTTTTGTTTGTTTTTACTCACAAAGGAGAAAAGGATACTTGGCATCAGGCTGTCCTTTCTTTCCATAAGCCCATTCTGGTTCAATCTCTAGTCGAGCCTTTTCTCCTTTACTCATGGTCAAGAGTGCTTCATCCCACTAAAGGCAAGAACATGAAATAAATACTAATGATAATTTGCAAAAACTACATGTAAATCTAGAAAACAGTATATACCAAAAAGCATTCCACTACTGAATTTCATTATATTCTAAGGTAATGTCCTTGGGTGAATCTTGGTCCTTTATTTCCTCATTGCAAAAAAAAAAAAAAAAAAAAAAAAAAGATGTATTAATTTTAACTCTACCTCCAATGTGGGGGTAGAGATCTTCATAACTCCAAGATAAAGAGTTGCATGCTTTACCAGCCAAGGCAGCCAGGCACCTTGGGTCTTAAAGTCAGTTACCAAAAACAGTTAAATCAACAGGATGCAAAGATATGACTAATATCATATACTCTGTTGAAATTTCAGTCACATAAAGCTTAAGGGATAGAGATCTGTTACATAATGGCAACTAAGAATATGGTTCACTAGAAGAAATACACAAGCAAATTAGTCACAGGAATAGAAAAATTGATCAGTTTGGTATATAGTTAGTATCAACTAGGTACAATCAGGTGGCAGTTAAGGTTATTTTCAACTAAACCTTTAGTTTGAAGATGTTTTATATGCTATTTTAGGCTCTGGATACGATTGAGTTGTATTTTAGGGCTTATCACAGTACAAAGAATAACATTGAGGATTCTCATAAATGCATGTGAATAGGTATGTCAGTTACAACGTTTGATGTTGTGAATAAAGACCATTTAATAATAAATGGGCCCTAGAATGACAGCTTCAATGAAGCTGATAATCAGTGCTACTATCCATTACCTTTGGTACACTGCAGTGGTCACTGCAGCTCAAACCTATCTTCCCCTTTTCTCAAAGTCTCCTTCTGTTACCTCTCACAAGAAGGGGTGGGTAAAAAAGGGATCCTTAGGTTTGAAAGATTTTCTGGTGTTTGAACCTCGATTGTGCAAGGTGAAAAAACTCAGAACAAACTCTTTCTTCTATAAGTAATTCAGTGAAACAGGTATTTTACCTTTCTCTACCATGTATAAGTAGCACAACTATGTAACATTTTGCAAGAATCTTAAAAAAAATTTTTTTTTTTAACGTTTATTCATTTTTGAGAGCGCAAGCAGGGCAGGGGCAGAGAGAGGGAGACAGAATCCGAAGCAGGCTCCAGGCTCACAGCTTTCAGGACAGAACCCGACGTGGGGTTCGAACTCACGAACCAAGAAATCATGACCTGAGCTGAAGCTGGATGCTTAACCAACTGAGCCACCCAGGCGCCCCTACAAGAATCTTAAAGATAAATTTAGAAAGCCAAACTTTCTGACAAAGAATTACTTTACGAAGAAAAAAAATATTAAAAGGGGCAGGCATTTAATAACATGAGTCTCTACCATATATTATGTGCTGCAGTTAAGCTTATTTGTTTAGCAACCTTGAGGAAGGTTGTACTGTCCATAACTGAGACCCAGAAAAATTGTGCCAGATCAGTTAGCAATGATAGCACTTGATTTGTTAGACTCCAAAGATTTTTTTTATCATAGCCCCAATCCTAATTGTTTTTTTTTTTTAATTTTTTTTTTCAACGTTTTTTTATTTA